CAGCTTCTTGCGATCTACATCTACGTGCGCCGTCGGTGACAGGGTTCTCAATTGTGCTCCGTCAGGAAACACATTCGCGACTCCTTCTGGTTTCTCCCAAATTATTTTGATGCTGCAGGAGTTGGGAACTTGAGGCAGAGGTGATAAATGGATGGGATCGCCCTCATTGCATTTATCCATGGAGTCCCCCATGATCATGTTGTAGATTGCTGGATGATCGGTGACAGAGAATTCGACGATCTTGGTGACTCCACCGGCCACCACATGGAGTCTGATTGTGTCCATAGTCATTTTTGTTTCTCCTGACAATCTGATTAGAGGCTTAGGAACAGCCGTCACCTCGGAGAGGTCGATTCCCATCCTTCTGAGTGTCTCCCTAAAGATAACGTCTACCGAGCTTCTGGTGTCTATGAGTACTCTTGCTACGTCATGGTCTCTGATTGTCAGTTTGATCACCAGTGGGTCGGTGTGTGGTCTGTCTATCCCTGCCTTTTCTTCCTCGGTAAAAGATATTACCATGTTCGGGAGATCGGTCGGTTCGGTCCAATTCTCCTTTGCTTCGCCTCGACGCTGATAGGCTTTGATGGAGGATACCGTGTCTTGATAATATTTTGATCCACCCATGATCATGTTGATCCTTTGCCTTGCCTCGGGTCGTTCTTCGGGTTTGCCTCTCCTGTCGCGCTTGTTATTATCGCCTCGTCGGGGCAAATTTGTGGGTTCTGCCGCGCCGTTCGGCTCGGTTCCCTCTTTTAGCTTGGTAGGGGCGAGGTCTTTAAGATTCACCGCGCTATGGAGCTCTCCTGCTGCCATTTTATCTGCGAGTTTTGCTCCTAGGGTTGGCATTGCGCCGTTGAGTGCGCGTAGGTTTGATGATACTCGCAGAACGCCTTTTCGTCGTAGTTAGTGGGCCTCCTTACCCAAGTGTTGCTACGCGGCTTTCCCCTTCCGCGTCCAGCACCTACTTGGTAGTTGTGGGCGCCTCCGCTTCTTGGTTCCTCCGAGTCCTGCGTACTTGCGTTGTTTGAAGGGTTACCTTTCTTCGAGGAGCGCGTCGGGATTGAGCTCCGGATTGCTGCTTTCGTCGCTTCGTACTGCTAAATGATAGACAAGACTTTTTAGGGTCTCAGGGCTATCAATCCCCTTGTCAAAGTAGCACAAAGAGGTTAATCAATCCAAGAATGTGGTGATAGACACTAAACTATGTGATCAAGTTCTTAATTCAAGCAAACAAGAGTGATTTTGGTTAACTAATGACAACTAACAACTTAAACAGGTTAAAAGACAAATGACAATGACAAATGGTGTGAATATGATATGATGGAGGCATGAGATTCTAGACATGATAGATGGTTAGGGTGCTTTGGTGTTAAACTAGAAATGCTAATGACAATGATGAGACATGATTCAAGTGATTAAGAACTCTAATCTAGGTTAATCCTCTCAAGAAGGTATTAACCCCTATACTAATCCATTTTCAAACCAAATTCCCATTTGTGAAATATGAATCAATATGCATTAATAAACAGTTCTCAATGATCATTCAAGCATTTAACAAATCATTCCCATGATGAAAAATTACTTAAACCTCTAACACAACTCTTTCAGGAATTTCATCAAACACTTTTGGTGCATGAAATTCCCAGAATCTAGATCTCAAGTGATTATCAAGGATCTAGCATAGAGAACAGTTGTTTAGAGAAATGAACCAATGAATCTAGCCCTAAGCACTCCTAATCTAACACTTTAGCACCCTAACCTACACATCTAGAACCTCATTAAGGTAACTACTCACTAATCATGATCAACACACTAGATCCTTTGCATCATGATCAACACACTAGATCCTTTGCAAGATGTGTTGTTAATCATGATTAGAAGTTGATTTTGATGAATAGAAATGATGAAACTCTCTAAAACAAAGTGTATTAAGTGGTTTTTCACAAAAGGGGAAAGAAGACTAAAAGTAGATTCAGTGTTCTCTACAAATTAGGTCTAAAAACCTTATAAAGGAGGCTTGGGCGAACCGGGTCAACCCGGAACAAACCGGGTACTGACCCGGCCTTGATGGGCAAAGAAGGGTTTGCCACGGTCTGGTGCATCCTTGGTGTGACCGTGGCATTCCTGACCGTGTCAAAGTCTTTACTTGTGTTCTTGGTTCCTTTTGATGCCACGGTCTGATCAAGCTTCATCTGGGACTCGTGGCAAGTTAACCGTGTCAAACGCCGAAGATGTGTAAAGGTTGCCACGGTCAAGCCCCCAGACCGTGGCATTCAGACCGTGCCAAAACCCGCATGCATGTGAAGACCTTCCCAGCCAAGTATATGCTTGCCACGGCCAAGTCTCAGGCCGTGGCATTGAGATCGTGTCAAAAGCCGAAACTGTGTAGAAGTTATCTCCAGCCACTTGTTCATTTGCCACGGTCAAGTCCCAGACCGTGGCATTCAGACCGTGCCAAAACCCGCATGCATGTGAAGACCTTCCCAGCCAAGTATATGCTTGCCACGACCAAGTCTCAGGCCGTGGCATTGAGATCGTGTCAAAAGCCGAAACTGTGTAGAAGTTATCTTCAGCCACTTGTTCATTTGCCACGGTCAAGTCCCAGACCCTGGCATTAAGCTCGTGCCAATCGCCGAAGGTTTCAAGATGTTGCCACGGCCAAGCCTTATACCGTGGCATTTAGGCCGTGTCAATCGCCGAACGGTTGCTAAGTTCCTCTCAGCCAAGTGTGTGTTTGCCACGGTCAAGTGTAGACCGTGGCATGAAGATCGTGTCATTGGCCGAGGGTGCACAAAAGTTGCCACGGCCAAGTGTGGACCGTGGCATTGAAATCGCGGCATGTTTAACTTAGTCATCCTGGGCTGTCTGGACCATCTCGCATTCCGGAGAGTGTAACTTCCTGGAGACCTGTCCGAATTGAGTGATTCCGGTTGCAGCAGACAGAGGACTCATTTATCTCCAACTTTGATGAAGGAAGTTTCAGTGCTTGGGAAGTGTAAGGTTTCCTGGAGGGCATATCTTTGAAGTGCATTTACACGACCAGAGAGAGGCGTCTAAACATGTGTCCATTCCGGAGACCGTATCTTTCTGCTCAAAGCTCCGAATTGACTGATCTCGGATGTTCTGGAAAGAAGACTCAAATGTCTCTGGTTCTCATGAAGGACCCGGAAACTAAATCGGCCTGGAAGTGCACCGTCCTTCGCATCCTTCAAAACTGATCTGCTCGGTCCGGAATACCTGCGAGACAGGGGTTCCTTCCGACGAGCTTATCTCTCTGCTCACGCGTCCGAATTCCACGATTCCACTTGCTATGAGACCGTGCTCCAATGCTCTCCAACTTCTATGAAGGACCCGCTGTCTGAATCGGACCGGAAGGCTCCCCGGACAGGCGATTTCTGAGACTCGTTCAAACCCGGAGATTTTGGCCGATACACTTCGTTCGCGGTACATGGAAATGGCCGGTAAAGCTTCCCGCGGTACATGAAAATGGCCGGTAAAACCTTCCTGGCCAGCGAGAATGGCCGATAATCTTCCAAGACCCAATTTTTCCACTTTTTCAAGCTTTGCTCACCATTCCACCTCTTGGATTCATCTTTTCAGCTCCATATTCACCTGATAGACACTCAAAACATGCAAAGACTCATTGAGACCTAATGCATCTCCTAAGTTCTAAAACAAACCCTAAGGACCTAAAATGCATGAAATAAAACATGATTTGGAATGATTTATGCAACCTAAATGATGCAAATTATGAACATATCAACTCCCCCACACTTGTCCTTTGCTTGTCCTCAAGCAAAAAGAGCAAATGAGAGAAAGAGGTTGTATGCAATGGGAGTTCACATTTTCATTTTGAGAGAAGTGATCACAATGAGAATTCAAGTTCATGCTCAATTATGCAATGCAAAGTCATACTCAGATATATGTCAACTCAGCAAGGAATCTCCACAAGTTCTTCTCTCTCTCAACTCTTCCACATTTATTAAGCTTTTATCAGGTGAACCTCATGATGCAATGTTTAAACAAGCTGGCTTGGCTAGGGAGAGGCTATGAGATTAAAATGATCTCATCAGTGTTCAAGTGGGTTAAATGCAGCAAAGGGATCTCTCTATGAATGATCAAACTTTGGCAGAATGCTAAAGGTAAAAAGCAACCTATGCATACAAGGGCAAAGACTCATCACACCCCACCCTCTACTCAAAGCTTCCTCACTTGCTCAAAAATCCTCACTTTTCACTCTCATTTTCCTCTCACTAGGGGATTTACTTTTCACATTTCCTCTCAAGTCTTGGAACTCAAACTTTACACAGCTCTTTTTCTTTTACAACTTCTAGCCTCTTCTTTCTTTCTTAACAAAACATTTGAGCCTTTTGGCTTCTTTTCTTCCTCTTTTTTTTTTTTACTTAGAGGCTAGACTCTTTCTTTTCAACAAACCAGAGCTCACTTTCTCAAAACACCAAGACTGATTTCTTTTTTTTTTTTCTTTCATTCCCCTAGCTATTTTCACTCTCTCTTTCCCGCTCATCTCACCTTTTTCCACTCACCAAAAAGTCTTTTCCCCCACACTTATTCCTTGCCAAAACTCTCAGTTCCTAGATGTTGGAACACAGCACTCAATGAGACCTGCCCTTGTCGCTCTAAACCTAACACTTTCTGCTAAGTTTGATCCAAGGTGGCCTTTCAATTCACACACAAACATTGGCTTAAAAGAAGGATGGGTTCAAGGTATGGGAACTGATCCATGATGTGGATTCAGCTACTTGAGCTAAGGAAAAGAGTGGTAAAAACAGTGGTTCTAGCTCAAGTATGTATATTGGTATCCACAAGCTTTTTCAAACAATGCATCACAAGATATTTTCAAGTCAAGTTCAAGGTTCCCACTTAATTAGAGTTGAGTTCAATTCAAACTTGCTTCTCAGATTCAAATCATTTCAGACTTTGCAAGCACAAAAAAAGATTCACAAGCATATTCAATTCAAGTTCTCAAAGTGATGTACTCTCTAGAAAACCTATCATTACTCCTTGCAAGATGCACCCTACATGCAAATGCAATCTAGACTCAATCCTAAAAATGAGAATGCAACTACATGATCATTTTTTTTTTGTGTAAATTTTTCAGATTTTTCCATTTTTTTGGTTTTTATATGCACTTAGATGAATATGCAACTAGAATGTGACTCAAGACTCAAAGTGTAAAATAGGAAAATAGAAAACATGATTAGTAAAGGATGAAACTCCTCCCCCACACTTAAATAACACAGTCCCTTGTGTTATAAAAGTATGAGAAAGAAGTGAAACCAAAGCAAACAGGCAAAATGCAAAAGAAAAAGAAAGTCTACATGCTATTTACAAGGTTTTGAGTGTTTACCTCAATCGCTGAGGTCTGATTCCAAGTAATGGGATGGATTGGAGGTTGAACATGATGGGGTGGAATATCTGGGTGGGCTGCTCTCAGGGGAGTCTGGTTGGAACGCTGTGGCCGGATTCACCCAATCTTCTTTTCCTGGTGGTAGCACAAGGTCATTGGCAGCTGAGCTTTCTCCCACCTCTTCTCTTGTATCTCGTTTGGGTGAGGTGGCTGGAGCTGTGAGCTTTTTAACCTTCTTCTTAAGCTGCCTAACACAGTCAACCAGCTTGTGGATCGTTTTGTCTTGCCATTTGCACCATTTCTGAAGGGTGTTAACTCTGGAATACAGCTTCCTTGTGTGATAGTCAGGCTCACCCCAAAAGTAAGGATCAAAGTGATACCTTCCTGCACCCATCCTTCTTTCAAAATCTCTTGGCCCCTCATTCTCACAACCAGCGGTCCTAGT